ACACTTAAAATATTTGCTGGCTTATTTCACGCTGGCCATGCGCATAACTTGTTCGCCATGCATGAATACATGCAACATGAAAAAATATATACAACATGAAAAACACCAACGAACATTATCGAGTAGTATCAATCATTGTTAGAGACTGTAAATCTCGTGTTACAGAGATCAATCAGTAAAGCACGTTTAGAGAGAGGTTTAATGAGGCCTCGAAATGTAGATTCGTCGCAAGGTAGAATGATTCGATTGTTGTTGTAGAAACCAAACTCCTCAGCAGATTTATGTAGCAATTGCTGGAAAAGGGGAACCTTCAAGAAAGACATGGGAACAACAAACCTTTTCAATTCATCACTACCAACATACACCACAAAGTGCCCTTTTGGAGCTCTTCTATATCTTCCTTCGAGCTCATGATCAATTTTCTTCGGCATAATCGGTATACCAAAGACACTAGAGAATTGAAATTAAATTGGATGTGTAAATGGCTATATATAGAGCTTGGGAAGTGTGCCATTGATTGAGAAGATAAGGTATGTAGAGAAAGAGAGGGAAGATTGAAAGGTTCAGAAGATGAACTTAATGTGGACTTACCCAATCCTTACGTACATGCAAAGTGCGTACTAGCACATGCAATCTACACAGAAAAGTTCAGAGGTTTGACTGTTCTTTATTAGGGTTATAATATGCCACACCTAAGGTTTAGCGGAAAGACGGTCCAACCCGACGACTTTGGGATATTAAATCGTCACCCCCAATGTTAGTGATCTGTCGTTAACTTATTACAATTAAAAATATAAAATCTTGGGAGGGTTGGTTTCTACTCAATGTTAAGACAATTTTCTTGTGTCGGGTAAATTTTATAGTGATGCTTGTGGATAACGATCTAGATAAATCATTAGTAATGGATATTGATGAAAAATAACATTGAGGATACGAACGTTAGCTTTTGAAACTTGGAGGGCTATGTTTTTTCATTAAACCCTAGGAGTGATAGTGTAAATGAGTCATTGATTAGAGACTGTTCAAGTTAAAACTGATATTGACAAAGATAATGTCAAGGGTGCCAATGTTAGTTTTTGAAATCTTGGAGGGTTGACATTTTTCACCAAAACATCCGGCGTGGGGAAACATACCCCGTAGTTATCATATTGTGTGCTAGAGGTGCACATGTCTCTAGCTACTTCCATAGCCAAGTGTTGTGGAAATATGCTGGGCATTGAGCTTTATGTGAAGCTAATTATCTAAGAAAACAAAAGCCCTCCCATGTCCCCATTATGTGAAGGCCAAGAAAAGACACCATGCATCTTTCTTTTGTTTTGAGTCAAGTCTACCTTATCTCAAACTTCAAACTTGTCAATAATTTGATTCTTTTTTATTTTTATTTTTATTTTTTTTACTAGGGTGCTCGAGTCAACTTGCATGTACCTCAACTAATCCCAGAGGTCTATTTAACACCTTACATGCCCTCAATTAATTACTATGGTCTGTTGAACACCTTACAAGCTCTAATCACTATGGTCTATTGAATATCTTACAAGCCTAAAAAAACCAGATAAGTCATGATGTAGTAAATAGTCTCAAGGTTTGAACCTAAAAATTCAATAAAGAAAGTAAACTTCCTGGATCGACAGGCGGCCCAACCAACCCTTTGGGGTTAATTTGCTCTATCATTGTGTTACTTGAAACGATAAACATATTTTTGGTTACCTTATCTCAAACTTCAAACTTGTCCATAATTTGATTCTTTTTTATTTTTTTATTATTATGTTTTTAAATTTGCTCTATCTTTTTTTTTTTGGTAACTGGGGTGTTCGAGTCAATTTGTATGTACCTCAACTAATCCTACAGGTCTATTTTAGAGGTGGGCATTTGAGACTGGGTCTAAAAGCCCAGCCCAAAAACCCGGTCCTCCTAAGGAGGAGGGCCCAGTCCCTCCATTGGGCCCTCGTCCAAGGCCCAGGCTTGGGCCCAAATTTGTTTACATATTTTTGTTTTAGTCCCTTGTACAATTACATAAAACCCCTTATAAATTTTGAAATAAACATAAATTATAGGGGTTAAAAGGAAATTTTATAACATTTATTAAAAAATATAAATTTCAGGCCCTAAAAAATTTATAAATTTAACCCTGAAAAATACTAAAAACTCCCAACAAAATTTCATTTCACCCCTAAAATATAAAAAAATTCAGGGGAAAAAAAAAATTTTCCAAACCCATAGGATCGGTCTTGGGTCCATAGGACCAGTCTTAGGGACCGGTTCGGGTCCTACAATTGCTCATGGGCTTGGGACCGGTCCCAGGCCCATGAGCGACTGGTCCCATTTGGGATCAGTCTCAAAAGGACTAGTCCCAAACGGGCCTAGGCCTGAGCTGCTTGGGACTGGTCCTTGACCAGCTCTAGTTTATTTAACACTTTACAAACTCTCAATTAATCACTGTAGTTTATTGAGCATTTTACAAGCCTTAAGGACTAGATAAGTTACAATGTGGTAAATAGTCCCAAGGTTTGAACCCAGAAATTGAATGAAAAAAGTAAACTTCCTTAATTGCTAGGCGGCACAGGCCAACTGTGTAGGGTTAATTTGCTCCATCATTGTGTCACTTAAAATGATAAACACATTTTTGATAACATTAGTAATAAAAAACAATTACGTAACCCTTAGAATTTTTACAGTGTAATCAACATATCACGCCATTATTTGATGTGATATATTTACTTACACATCAATTTACATGTGTTGTCACATGTTAATTAATTTTAGAATTAAAAATCACTTTCATCTTTTAGTATGTCTGGGAAGGGATTTTTATAGAGACCCCCACATATTTTGTGACTGACGCTAAACTCCCACTGGTTTCAGAAATACAATCCTAAGTCCTAACCCCATTACATTAAAATTGTTTGTTAATGTTAACGGGGACAAATGTATTTTTGATATTTCATTTATAAATTAAGGTGTATTTTTACATTTTTGGAGGTTGAATTGATGAGATTATTGATATATTTCGAATATTAGATTTTGATTGAATTTGGGCATGAGTCTTGATGGTGAGGTTTTGATTGTAAGATGAGACATTTTGTTTAAAAACCTTTGGGGTGAATAAGTAAAATGATAAAGTTTGTTGGATGATTGAAGGTTTTTATAAAACTTCTTTGAATAATGTGAATTTACATTTTTAGGGGGTGATTGATAGAATTTAATTAAAGGGTAAAAAAGTATTGTCATAGCTTAACTGATTTTTCATTGAATTAACGTGTTAGACACACCACATAATTGTATTGGATGCATTCCATAAACCCTAGACCTTTAAATGCTACTATCTAATACAAGTCACGTTAGTCAAATGAATTTATTGGATGATTAGCTAGTACCTATTACCGGACGTGCACGGTTTGATTTGGTTCATTTTTGTCTAATCCAAATTGAATAGGATAATATTACACTTACAACCCAATCTCACAAATTTTTTCTTACAATCTCGATAGGATAATTCGTACTTGGTCAGCTCATAAATAGGTTCCGCCACTCATTATAAACAAATAAATCGTTATTTTTTCAGAAATTAATTAATTTTTTTTTCTTGAATTGATCAGTTGGTTTAAACTTAAGGCTATTTTTGTTTTCAACTAATGACAAGCTCAAGTAGAAAAAAATATAGAATTAATTTGTCCATACAACCTTAAGGCTAAATTAATATCATCGAAGCTCAAGTAGGGTTGGTTTAGGTTATGGTATTGCACAAATGGGTAGACGTAAGAGTTAGAGATAAGAAAAATACTTAGAAGACCATCTTGCCACATGGCAACGTTGACATGATGAGATGGTTTGAATAAAAATTAATCACATATTATTGGTCATATCTGCGGAAATCTAATTAGACAATTTCACTACATCTACATTATTATGTTGGTTTAGATTATAGTATTATATAAGTAAGCCGATGTAAGAGTGGAAAACAAGAAAAAATAGTTCTAAAGACAGTCTTGCTATGCCACCATGCTGATATGATAAAATCTTTCTATTAAAATTAGTCATATATGGTCACTCGTATCTACAACATCTAATTAGACAATCTCATTACATTAGTATGATAATTTTTTTTTTTTTTTAATGATCGAGGGTGTCCAGCCAGTTTACACGAACCTCAACTAATCCCCTAAAACTTTAGAACTATCGATCGGGTAATAGCTTCAGTGACAACCTGTTAGAACTCAAGCTCAAGGGAGAGCCCAACCCACTAGACCGACCTGATAGGTGGGAGAGCCCCTAGACTTAAGTACTACACTTGGTGGGTGTGAGATCTTGATGTAGGATCCTAACATTGCACCCCTCCTCAAGAGTTAACGTCCACAACAGCTTTTACTCTATCGACACTAACCCGACGGTAGCCTTTTTCCCTTTTGGGTGGCTTTACTTACCTATTAGTTATTCGATGCAGTACCCCTCTTCCAAGGAGAGTACAGTGTACCTTAATCTAGCCTATAGGTAGCTCTCTGTAGTCCAACTCTCAATGAAAAACACCAATGTTAGAACTCAAGCCCAAGGAAGAGCTCAACCCAAAAGACCGACCTGATAAGTGGGAGAACCTCTAGGCTTAAGTACCACACTTGATGGTGTGAAATCCCGATGTGGAATCCTAACACCACCCCTATTATCAATCGTGGAAATTCGAACTCGAAAGACCATATTATATCTTCCTCTTACTCTATTACCATCAAAGAGACTCATCTTAAAAGATCATTCCTACTTTTACTCTATTACCATCAAAGAGACTCATCTTAAAAGATCATTCCTACTTTGTTCTTTTACCATCAGAGTATCAAACCATCCGATGGTTGTTAGAACGATAATTTCCCATTACTGCCAACTTGGGATACATCATAAAAAACCCAAATCAAACGGGTCCGGTTCGGGTTTTCAATTTTCTTGCCCACCCACCCATGTTAATCAGACACCAGAATCAGACCGCTACGCTTCTATTACATTTACAAGTCGTCGTGACTAGTTCGTTGATTAATTCCCATCTTCTTCGTCTTCTTCTTCTTCTTCTTCAAAAAAAAAGATATAAAAATGTCAAACAAATCTGCAAGTCTAAAGTCTAGAAGTCTCAATTCAAAATTCTGAGATCCGTCTAAAGAGAAAAAATCGAACCCAATTGAGAATCGAAGTCTCAAATTATCATGCAATTAAAGCCCTTAAACACCTTCACAATAACTCTGATGTTTTTCTTCACATTCTTATTTCTCTTCTTCTCAGGCTTCCTCGAATTCCCATCCGTTTCGACCTCAATTAACGCACGGCGGCACGTGGATCCAAGCTTTCCCCCTCCTAAATCCACGCCGGAGCCCTTCACCGACGTGTTAAGTGCGTTCAAGAAATGGGACTCTCAAGTAGGTTGCGCCCAATTCAGAGAGAAATACAGGAATCAAACCGGGTCGAAGTCAGTTTCTAGTGGGTCGGGTTCGTTGCAAGAAGATGGCGAGGGAAAGTGTGATGGGTTGAAAATGGAGCACGTTAGTCTTCTTGTTAAAGGTTGGACTTGGATTCCTGATAATTTGGATAATTTGTATTCTTGTCGATGTGGGTTGAGTTGTTTGTGGACTAAATCTTCGGTTCTTGCTGATAAACCTGACGCCTTGTTGTTTGAGACCACCACACCTCCGATTCAGGTATCCATTCTTCATTATAATCTTAAAAATTTATGCTTTTTGTTTGTTTAAAGGATAATGATTGTAAATTTGAAATCTTTGGGATGAGATTTGAATTGTAATCATAAAATTTTGATCTGTTAAATATGTACATATGATGAAATCTAAAACGTTCAATAATTGACTTAGAGGATAATGTAGATGGTAATGACATGATTTAGGAGGATAATTTTCGGTGATTAGGCCAAGTTCTGGAGTTGGTGGATAATAGTATTGGCAGGCTTGATCCATATCTTCATTTATTTGCCAGTCCTATCGGTTTGGTTTTATGGTCTTATTTCTCTAACTTTTAGCTATTGATTTGGTTTTAAAGCAAAATTAGAGTAGCACAATGTTTTGGAATGTTAATAGACTGAGGATTGGATTAAGGCATTGACAATATGCACTTGTTTTGGTTGTTGAAAGTTCTATGGCGGTTTAGTTTGCAAGTCTGGGATGTCCCATATATAGACGATAAATGTGGTTTCAAATTTCGCCACTGGATGTAATAGGCATATACATTAGCATCAGAAATTACCAAAGTCGTCTGGAAACTTGCAAGAAATTTTGGAAGAGTTGCTTAAAATTAGAAAATGGCATTGTAATTAGTTAATTCTTTTTATCACATCCAGTTTCATCTATAGTGACTTTTGGGCCTTCTGTAGAAAGTATAGATGCCTAATTTTTCCTTGCTTTTTGAGTATATGTACTGTACAGGCATTTTTGAGCAAATAGAATAAACTTCTATATGTTTTTTCATTAAATACACTTTGGTAATGCAATATGGTGAGGAACAACTTTCTTACGTAGTGAATGAAGAAGTAAAATGGTGTTGTGCTCGCAAGCCTTAGATCTCATCATGGATTAGAGAATGCTCTCATTTTTATAGCATTATACAATGCGTAGAGGAGATTGAATCATTTGTTTGATTCTAAGAGTGAAGATCCTCTTAGAGAACAAGACTGTTCATTAGATTTAGGGACGTGGTCAGTACATTTTAACAGAAAAAGATGATCAGCTAAAGATAAAATTAGAGACAGGGAGGGATATAAAAATTGAAAAACCGAAAGCCTGAAAGCAGGCCATACAGTGATTATTCCAACTAGAAAGTATAAGCTTTAAAAGTAACAAATGGATTAAATATTTATCATATTTGTACGTTGTGTATGATGAATAATAGATACTAAAGGCTTTAAAATTATTAGTTAGTTTATTTTTGTTATGTTAACATACAAATAGTTTCATAACTTTAAAGTTGCAAAAAATTCTCAGCCTGAGATTGTGTGTGTGGCTTAAATCTGTTTCTTTGACTAGTAATATCTTTGTATCTTGAATCTCTTGAATTTAATGGTTTGAATTGTATGGTCACTGGCAAATTTTACAAGGGTTACACATGACTCTGGATATGCATAACAGGAGCATAATGACAAAAAAATGAGTGCATGGACAGCCACTATCTTGGCATCTTGACAGTGTTGTTTAATGTAACAACTTACCGGTTGCTATCATATTGATGTTCCATGTGGAGTTCTTGTTTTTGTGCTTTTTCAATTGTTTTCGTTTTTACAAGCATTTTCCAACTTCCTCTGTGGTATAGTTTGACTTGGTGGTTTGTACAAATAATTGTTTGTTTTGCATTTTGCCTCATCATTGTCTGCCATCTATGCTAGCAAACTTCAATGCGTTCCTTACATTTTTCAGAGACGCAACGGCGATCCACTTCGTGTATACATGGATCTTGAGGCTGGTAGGAAGCGGTCTGGTCTTGAGGATATATTTATTAGTTATCATGCCAAAGATGATGTACAGTCAACTTATGCTGGTGCACTCTTTCACAATGGTCGAAATTATCAGGTGTCATCTGACAAGAACAATGTAAGTGTTAGCTGAAGTTATTTGCTTCTTTTGATAGTTTCCACTGATTTTTTTCAACCAAAAAAAATACTTCTAACCTTTTTTCTCTTTCTGAAATCTGAAGGATACACTTGTTTATTGGTCTTCATCACGCTGTCTTCCTCAAAGAAATCGGCTGGCCAAAAATCTCCTCAGCTTGCTGCCTCACCATTCGTTTGGCAAATGCTTGAACAATGTCGGTGGCCCAGACATGGCCCTTTCGCTCTATCCTGAATGCAACAATGATGCCAGTGTCCAGCCAAGATGGTGGGATCATTTACATTGTGCCATGTCTCACTACAAGTTTGTACTTGCTATTGAGAACACCGTGACCGAGAGTTACGTGACAGAGAAGCTATTTTACGCTCTAGATTCTGGTTCAGTTCCCATCTATTTTGGTGCCCCAAATGTTTGGGATTTTGTCCCACCACACTCAATAATAGATGGAAGTAAATTCAGATCTTTGGAAAAATTGGCTTCTTATGTCAAGGCCCTAGCTAATGACCCTGTGGCGTATGCAGAGTACCATGCATGGCGAAGATGCGGTGTTATGGGTAACTATGGGAAGGCTCGTGCAGCAAGCCTTGACACGTTGCCTTGCCGGCTGTGTGAGGCCATTAGCAGAAAAGGTGGGAGAAATGCAAGAGCTAAGTGAATTTTTGCCTATTTGTATTTCATTTGGGTTGCTTCTGATGGTAGAATGATTGTTGCTGGAAGGTGTATACAGGCTTAGATTGAGAGGATGTACACAGAAAAGATTAAAAGAATACAAAAACTAACATATTCATATAAACTGTTGAAATTGCATTTCTTTGGAGGATGAAACAGGAGAAAGTTTATGGTAACGAGATCGATAATGATATTAGTTTCTGGAAATTACGTGATCGATGGTTTGCGTATTGATCATGTAATTTCCTACAACTGATAACGTTCACCGTAGTCGAAATTGCTGAAATTTCCCTATAAAATATGGTGTGAATGTAAAAGTGGATTTTCCATGGTTTGCAAAATAACACTAATCAGAATCCTATAATGTAAATGAACAATCAAATGCAGGTAAGGATTTTGATCCCAAATGTAAAAAAAAAAATATTATATGGCTTACAAAATTATGACAAAAACTAGATATGCATAAAACTAAATTAATAATACAGATATAGTTGCTTTGTCATAACATTACAAACATGTTCTTATATTGACATAGAAAAATACAGTGATAGAAATCTGAAATTAAAATATTTATTTCTGGGCATCTGAATTTGGCAGAAGAATCATTATTATCCGGTTTATGAAACTTCCAAACGATGCCATTATCCCATTAGAAGAACTTGGAATTTACTCTTCTTAATTCTTTGAGCCTGCATCATAATATGTGAGATTTCAAAACAATTAAAATTTACAAAAAGGAATAAGCCAAAATGATAATACAAAGAATAACTCAAAATTTCTTCCCCCTTTAACCGAATAAAAGAAAATAAGTATTCGAACAAATTTTAAAGAGTGAAGTGAATAAACTTCTTCTTATAACTAAGAAGTTAAACAATAATTTTGATTTTGATTTTCATATTTATTTATATGTTGATACCTTTTGCCTTGGTTTGTGTTTGGATCTTGATAGTCTTTAACTCTGGAGGTCTATTTTGAAGATATTCCTTCAACTGTTGATCATTCATTGTATCCATTTCATCTGTCTGCTCAACATATAGTTCATTCATCAACTTAAACCATTGAATTACGATCACAAATTGAAATATGTTAACCCGTTAATTAAAGGATGAGATAAGATTGTACCCATTTTTGGAGAGCGTGATTTGTTTATGCAAGGCTTCTTCTTCCTCGTCAAGAAGTTTCTTCTTCTCTTGACATGAAAGATTGAGAGTATTATTTAGTTGCAGAGCTTCTTTTTTTTTTCTTCTTTCTGTAATTCCTTCACACTGCTACTGCGCATTGTTTCCTTCAAATTTATAAATCAAAATTAATATCATTTAAATTAAATTATTCAATCAATTAATGAAGGAACAGGATGACAAGTTCTCAATACAAGTCAAAATATAGCGCTCCTTTCAATGCAATAACAACAAAACTATAAATAAATAAATAAATAAATAAATATATATATATATATAAACTTGTATGTTTTTACCAACATAAGTTATTGTTATTTGTTGAATATTTATTAATTGATTTTTATTATCTCTATTAATTTATACATAAATTTGTATGTTTAGTACTATTGATACAAACTTTTATTTGAGATATCAAGGATCATAATTTAGATTTTTTTTTTAAAAAAAAAAATTTAGAAAACCACTTTCAATTAATATTAAGGCTCCGTTTGGTTGGTTTTTGGGAATACTATTATAGTATTCCCAAAAAAGTTAAACAGTAAATACCCAAAACTCACAATATTATCCAATATATTCACTTTTGTTAAACTCCCGAATTTGTTAATTTATAAATACCCCTAAATATTTTTTTCGAAATTAAAAAACACCCTTAAACCCATTATACTAGATTCTCGCCACCACTGCCGGAAGTTGGCTGGAATCTAGTAGGATGGCACACTATCGGCTGGATCTTACCGGTAGGGTACCGATCTAGCCTTTTCCCCAGATCTTTGGCTGTAACCGGACATCAACGACGGCCAACATATGTCGTTGTTGACCATCAACGATGGCTGTATCTTTGGCCGTGGTTGAAAGCAAATCGGCCAGATGCTGCCACAATGGCCAGATCTAGCCGTAGATCTGTCCTTGCTGGCCGATCCACCGTGGATCTGGCCGGCAAAGGCTATATCGGCGCACGACCGAGATCTAGCCGGTCATGCATTGATACGGTGACTTACCACCCTCCGGCGGTGGTGGCCGGTTGTTCAGTATTTGATGGGTGGTTGGGGATTTTTGTTAACTTTTAATATTTTATTATGGGGGTGTTTTTGTAAAAAAAAAACATAGGAGGTATTTTATTAATTTGTAAATTTTACATCGTAATATCCGTCCATCAACTTTTTTTTTAACTGTTTTCAAAAAGCTTTCCCAAAACATAAAAATGTGAACCAAACGGAGCCAAGTGTTTAGATAATTTTGTACATTTTTCAAGTTAATAAGAGGGTTGCATATAATTAAGATAAAGCTCAAGAGAGGTCAATAAATGATATTATTAAGAATATATTTAATTGATCTAATTTTGGAAAATCTACCACTTGATTATGATAAAATTGAAATTATATCACAATAAATTTCAATAATCAGAGTCATGCCTTAAAAAATTTAAAAGAAAAAAAACCATCACTATTCACTAGTACTTATAAATTATAATAGAGAAATTACATAAGAAAATTAATCAAGAATTAAAAAAAAGAGTCTATGTCCTGTTCTGATAGTAGCCCTACTTGTCAGATGTTAGCTTTTGAAGTTTTTTTTAAATGTCTAAAATATCTTTGATCTGTTATTTTCATTTTCTTTAATATTAATGGAATTCTCTATATTTTTACCAGATTTCCCAGTTAGCAGCCGTTTATTATTACTATGATTATGATAAATTGAAATTAATCACAATAAATTTCAATAATCAGAGTCATGCCTTAAAATTTAAACAAAAAAACCATCACTATTCCTAGTACTTATAATAGAGAAATGAGTAATACTAGCCTTACAAAGAGGCATACAAGAGTCATACAAAGAGTTAAACCTAGCCTTTGAAAGAAGGGAAAAAGAAAGAGAGAAAGAGATAATCTGATTTCAAGGGCTGGATTTGACCATTTGTATGACCCTTTGTAAGGCTAATATTACTCTAATATTATTGTGGGTGCGTTTGGTTCAGTATTTTGGATAGGATTGGATTGTTGGATGGTTATGATTCGTAAGTTATGCAGATATGTGTTTGGCTGAGTATTTTGACCTTGATATTTGTGTGAATATTTGATTAATTATTTTTTTATAATGTTTTTAATATAATATTTTGTTGAAGTTTGTTAAAATATGTATTATTATATATATACTTATGAAGTTACATTTTAATAATTCTAAATATTTTATTGGTAATTTTGTCACCTATAGATATTAAGAAACAAAAACCCATATTAATTTCAAGTACTAATCCAACTATTTAAACATCATATACAAAAGTACTCATTACCAACCCTTCAATCATTCTTACACATATATTCTAAACAACTAAAAAAAAAAAAAAAATTCAAACATGTCATAATCTGTCAAGAGAACACGTGAAAAAGGGGAAGGCTGCAAAAAAAAAAAAAAAAAATTCAAAGACTCAGTCAGAAAAGTGTTGGAATAGTTTGAAAATCCTTTGTCTAAACATTAAACCAAACACTATTCTCAAAATCTACTCAATATGGATGAAAATTAAGGGTGGAAAAAAAACCCAAAAACCGAACCAAACCGAGAAACCAGACCGAACCGAACCAAAAATTTGGTTTTTTTTGGGTTTCGTTCGGATATTAAAAAACCGGATATTCGGTTCGGTTTCGATTTTTGAAAAAAAGAAAACCGGTTACCCGAACCAGTTTTATACCGAAATTTTAAAAAAATTATTGCATTTTAATTTTTACGTTTTTATTTTGCATTTGCATTTGCAATTCCAAACCCTAACACCATCTAACACTCTCACAGTCTCAACTCTCACGGTCTCACTCAGTCTCAGACACTCACTTCACACCTTCAGTCTTCATCAGTCTTCACTACTCAGTCTACTCCAGTCTCCATTCTCCAGCTCGGCAGACGCAGCTCCACTGCTCCAGTACGGCAATACTCAGATCTCAGACGCACTTGCGCCGGCGTCAGTACTCAGACACTCACCCATACCTCAATAACCGTCAGTCTCTGTCTCACACTCTCAGAGTCTCTGTCTCCTTGTCAGTTCTCACGTCGGAGTCACGCGGTCACGCCGGAGTCTCTCACTCTCAGTTCTCAGATCTGTTGCTTAACGGTCGGCAGTCACAAGTCGCGGTCACCATTCTTCTTCCTTCACCAAGTCTCCACGTCATCATCTGTTTCCGGTGGGTGACCTCATCTCTTTGGCTTTTTTTCTTTGTATTGTTGGTGACCCTCGCCCACGGCTAGATATTTGATGTCCTGTAAATTTTTTTTTATTATTCTTCTTGTTACAAATTTACAATGTGATGGTAATAACTAATGTGATTTACTCAATTCATTCTTTTATTTTCTTCAATAATTGGACATCTAATCAAGCAGTCTCTAGTTAATTTATCTTTGTTTGAGGTTGATTGATACCTCTTGTGTTATTATTACTTCCTATCATGTCTATTTTATTTATGTCAATCTTTATCTTCTTTAAGTTAGTTGTTTCTCCCCAAATTTGCAGCCCCCCCTATTTATATTTCCATTTAATTCATCATCGTCAATGTTAGTTTTGTTCTAACCAGGTGAGCAGGCTGATAACTTTTTTATCTTCTAAGTAGTTAGTTGTTCTCCCCCCAAAATTGCAGCCCCCCTATTTATATTTCCATTTAATTCATCATCGTCAATGTTATTTTTGTTCTAACCAAGGATGAGGCAGTGATAATTTTTTTTAAAGAAAAAACTCAATTTTAAGGCATTTAGCAATGTTTGATGATTGGAGCTATCTTTTTATGTCTATATGAGTGTTGGAATGATAATGTATATCTTTGACAATAATATGAAAATCCCATTCATCTGTTTCCAGATTCTACTTTTTATGCTTTTAGAGGTATTATATATTTGAGAAGTGCCTATCTGTGGATAATTAGTAGCTTTTGATGAGTTCTAAGTTAAAGTGCTTCTCTGGGCTTTGCACAAATACCTAATCTTTTGAGCAAGTCGCAATCATAACAGTT